TGCTCAACTATTCAAATATTCACACAAAAGTTTTTATTAGACTAAGTTTACATTTATAGACGCATTCTTGTAGGAACTTACAAACGCATATATTTATAAGAGCCTAACTTTACAAATATATAGTCAAATGAACGGAAGAAATCGTATAATACGTACTCGTAATCTAATAAAGCGACTTTTTCGCAACGAACTTTTTTATTCTAAACGCAACTCGCAAAACTACCCACTGTGGCCTTTCATTGTGTCTAAACATTTCTAAATATAGTCAATCCACAACTCTCGTGCACTTTGCACATTTTTTTGCAACTAAGAACTAGGCGAAAATATTTCTACTTAATAAGACTTAGACAATTGTCGGAATTTTTGGAAGTGAAGAAATATACAAGACAAATCCTTAAACAATAAAAGCCTAGTTATAAAAACAGCATCGAAACAAAAGACTCAAGCGCCGAACTTCAGCACAACGCCTCAAGTAAGCTACATTCTTCGACTTTATACCTCGCCGAGTCAGCCCGAGTGTTAGAGATATATGTGTGTATGTGTACATCAGTGGAGCAAAAACGCGTGTAATCCATTTCATTTGTGATTATAAAAAGTATGACATTTACAAAATGAAAAACAAAAAACAGAAAAGAAACTCGTTCTCGCTCCCTCACCCAATCCCAAGTACAAATACAAAAAAACTTATCGTTCCAACTTCACTAAAGCCTATGGACCCCTTTAATGCCGTGGAATAGTGAGCAACACAATGCGAAAACCAATTGCTTGAAGATTTCATCGTCAAGGTTAGCAAATATAAACATCTAAAAACAAGTCACCTCAACAAATTCGTAGTGAACTAAACTTAACTTGGAACTATATAAAGTAGTTAGTTCTTACGTTCACGGACTATATCCGCTCTAATGACTATGAAAATACTATATAATATCTCCATCTACCGTTGTCTTTCACTCTACCTACCACTCGTACTCCCGCTTCTATAACTGTGGGGTCTAATACTCTAATACCACTTATTCTCTTCTTCTATATCACTCACACTTTCAATCCTTACATTTACGTAAACAAATCAAAAACACTAGAAAATGCTATTAGTAACTGCATTTGACACTTTCGCTCTAATCTAAAAAGTTCGTAGCGTTCTCTGTACGCGTGTATCACTGCAAAAGTTCTTTCACACACGATAAGTATACTCTTCTCTCTCTTTCTCTCTTACAACATTGCTGCTGTTATTGTTGATCTCTCATATTGAATCTAGTAAGCGTTTGGGCCTTCGTCAACTATCCCAAGAGGCTTTTCATAATCCATTGACATTACATGTAGTTACATACATAAATTTTACATAGTAGTCAAATAAATAAACAAATAGCAAATGCAAAAATGATGAAACATGAACAAACGCACCAATGCCTACAAATACACTTTCGCCAACTGCACAGATATACATATGTACATAATCTCTTTTAAATGTTGTCATCTCTATTACTTATCTATCGAAAACGCACCTCAAATGATTGAAGCCGCTTTAATTCGAGTAAGCGGGACGTTTTACTGCATTTTCATCTATTTCACTGGCTCTTTTCTGACTAACGCCTACTTAAATGCTCACTATGGTTGATATTCGATGATAGTGTGATAGCTCATTTCTTATACTAACCCTATAATAGCTTTTTAAGGCCTTAATTTACTATTCATCATCGCTCTTTTCAGTAAGCATTTTGGGTTAAATTTACACTAAACAATAATTTATTATTTACATATGTTTTAAAATTTATTCTTACGCATATAAGCAATTAATTTCTTAACTACTGTATCTGCCCGTTTCAACTACCAACACTTTATTCCTACATCGTGCTAGATCATTTATCATAAAAATAGCTGCCAGCTAAACTTCTTTCGGTGTAATTCAGGCCGAAAGAAAGTGTATCACTTCCCTTAACTTGTTTTTCTTATAGTCTTCGTCTATTTCCCTTGTTGTTTGGAACACCACTGCGTTCTATTTCTACTCGAAAACAATCAAAACTCATATCTCCTCTATTCAGTTTGAACATTTAGAACAATTTTTACGTAATTAGTTAAGAGCTAATTCAGTATAAAATATGTGCCTTGAGTTTTTGGTAAGTTTTTTGTTGTGTATTATTTCAAGCATATCATCAAGACTATCATCTACGTATGTAATTTATTAAATGAAATAAAATATATATATTATAAGTCTAATTTTCTTTATTATTTACAAACATATTTAGTTAACTATGTAAACTAATCATCGCTAAAACTAAACATTCACACACACTAGCTTATACATAACGGCATTTCATTTCATCATCAGCTCATCGTTTTAGTACTGAATATCATCAATATCACATAAATTCATCATATATATACATTCTCGACAAATATATTTACATTCCCTATTCCCAATGCAAACGTCATGAAATCATCAAGCTTTATATCCATATATACTAAATATGTATATTGTTTATTATTATAAATTGTATATGAAATACGTTTACAAACACATGCAAACACAGTCAAAACTCATCTGCCATCATCTGAATGCGCCTTGCTTCGCTTCTGGCTATTGTATTTGTTATTTTTAATTTTGCTTTTGCTTTGTTCAGCTGCGACTCTCATTGCGAGCATTTTACTTATATTTCCGTATAATCCATTCAGCTCAAGCGCCTGTTTGTGTTTGTAGTCCCTAGTCGATAAGTTTTGAATTGCTTTTATTGTTTGTGATATAATGCTCGCATCCTCATATACACGTATGTATATAGAAATATGATTACAAGCATTTGTACATATGTAGTTATGTCAATAGAATTTGTGCACGCATTTTTATTAGTATTTTATTTGTTTTTCGTCTTATTTCATTGTAAATATTATTACGATTATTTTCATTATACTCAATTATCGTTAAAATTTATTATTTTTATTTGGAAAATATATATTCTGCTAAGTAACTCAAGTAAGTGCGCGGAAAGCTGGAGTTAGCTAGCGAATTGCATGAAAAAATCAAATAATAAAATTTCCAATACTTTTTCTTAGCACTCTCCGCATACTTGAGCATTAGTCGATTTTCTTCTCTTCCATAAAATTTATTATTCCTTAGCCTTTTTTCACTTTCGCTTTAGATGAAATAAATCAAAAAGTTTTTCAGCTCAAATATTCACTATCCCCAAGCAAAAATTGTTTACTAAATAAAAAAGATAATTTATAAATATCTGAACAACACTATGTTTGAAATGTGCGCGTTTAAAAAGAATACTACACCACAACAATAAAAGTATTTTCCGTTATCAAAGTTTTTGTATATTTTTAGTTTAAACCTTATTTTGTACACTTCCACATATATATGTACATATATATATATATGTATATTGACTCTACATTATTTACTTTTAGCTATATCTTCTACCGCTTTAAAATTTAAAAATATATATTTAAATAAATTTTCTATCCAAATAAATACTATTACGCTAATAAACAAATGTTTTTTTATTATTTCTACTTTCAACGCGTACTATCTCACTCTTTACACGCGCGCACACACAAACTTTTAATTTCTTTATTCTTCTGAACTCTTCATGTGATCAATTTCCTTACAAAATTACTAATCTATTTTCCTCTTGGCTTTGTCCCTCTCCCCCAATTTAGGTGCACATTGTACTATACGCTCAGCAGCTACTTCGCCAACAAGTTCTACCTCAGCACCACCCTCACCGCCCACGGCACTGACATCGCCCTCACCATCTTCGCTAAGTTCGTTGGCATGCAATGGCGGCGGGGGCGGCAGCAATGGTGGTAACAGCAGCAGTGTACTCTTCAATATGCATGGCTCATCGCCACCTCGTCCCGCCAGCGGCGGCAGCATTACACCGAATGGCTCCAGCAACGGTGGCGGCGTCAGCGGTGCTCTCTCAATCACGCCTACGCTGAACAGCACAGCACCACAAATGCCGCTTCGTATGCCACCACCCACTAGCGGCGGCATTAACGAGCCACAGGAATGCCCCTACTGTCGACGCACTTTCTCTTGCTACTACTCACTGAAACGACACTTCCAAGACAAGCACGAGCAGTCCGATACGTTGTATGTATGTGAATTCTGCCATCGACGTTATCGTACCAAAAATTCGCTCACCACACACAAGAGTCTACAGCATCGCGGCTCAAGCGGTATGCTGAAACGGTTGCTCAAGACGTCCGCCATCAAGAATGTGCTCGTGCCGCCACATCATCATCACCATCACCATCTGACGCACCCACGCGCTAGTCTCTTTGATTTCACCAGCGAATTGGGGCAACCACCACCGGGCATCCAATAGGACTTCAGATGGAATGCGATATTTTAGAGAGCCCACTGAGCCAAGCTTAGCGAAGCTGAGCAAAGGAGGGGCGCGCAATCATCAGGCGGGCTGTTAGAGACACCGTCATTATATTAGATTTTCAATTCTACTTATAATTAAACGTGAATACTAATTTACTTATTTTAATTATTACGCTACTTGAAATTAAGTAGAGCTTAGTCATGAATGAGTTTGTACGATTTTATTTGACAAACTGCAGTTAAGATAACAAACAAACACGAATGCACGCATACATACAAACATACAAACAAGAATATGGAAAACGGAAAGCGGAAAGCGGAAAGCGCGTTCAGTGAGCACCCGAATGCAGAATGCATGTTCGGCATCGCGCAAGTGCAATACAGAAAGAGAACGTGAAGGAGGAGATGAGAAGCCTAAAATGCATTAACAAACACAGCCAACGAGCCTTTGGTATTGGAAACCTTCGAGTTTCGGCTGATTCTGGTTGCTTCTCAAATTTAAAAAAGATCATTGTAAATACACTCACACATACATACACAATTCTAAATACATAGTTGTATCGCAGATGTCTAATTTCAATTAACCTAGCCACATAAAATATATAATTATGATAAAACTAGTTTACATATAAATACCATTAGATTAATTACTATTATTAATTATTTTACTTACCGCAAAGCTAAGGATAAAGATGCTTGTATGATAGTTCTGCGTCACAATGCGTGGCCGAAATTGGGAAGAGAACCAAGGACTTGAGTAGTAAGTGCAGAAAACGCATGACACTGAGGCGATAGTCCGTTGTACAGTTGGCAAATGGTGGAGACGGCAGGGGTTGAGAGACAACTGTTTTTTTTTTTTTCTTTTTTCCTTTTAATTTCTATTCATCAATGTTGTACATATCACGGCGTATACGCAAAATCTAGAACCAAGAAAAAAATATTTGGTAAATTTTTTTAGCAAAATTAATGGAGAAAGTAAAATAAACCCATGCAAACGTTCTGTCTACCTCACCCACTGCACGCCACTGTATTCTTGCGCCTCAGAGGCGTGTCTTTATGCGAAAATCATTAGTTTTATTATGCAATCGTAGAGTTTTAGTAATCAGTTTCTTGTGTTGCGGCCATTTAAATTTTATTCTTTCGCAAATAATTTCGAGAGCGCGAAAAAATCTCTAAAAAGTCAAATGTATTCCACCTGAAAATAATGCAAAAGTAGAGTAAAATTAATCGTTAAAGAAATCATGCGTAGTGGAAGCAAATTGTTAGAAACACTATACATAAAACTATTAAGAATATTAAAACAAAATATCATATTAAATAAAAGAAAAAATAAATGCCTGACATACGCATGTGAACACAAGGAACTGCGGACATGATTTTAAACTAGACGTATGTAACTGGGGCAACAAAGTGTGCCAAAAAGCGGTTTCAGCCGTTGCATTTTCTTAATAAAACAAAACAAAAAAAGGCAGAAAATCGACTAGTACTAAAGTTGCATGTCATATTGCAAAGTATAAATGAATTAAATAAATATATACATATATTCAAAATTTAAATATAATTAAGTATAAAACTTTAAAATGAACATTGTCAGGGATCAATATCAGTAGAATGTCCTTTTTTCTATACAATTAATTACAAACATACAAATATACTATATTTAAAGTAAAACAAAAAACAAGAAAACAACAATATTAACATAAAAAAGGAACTTAACATTTTAGCAACTAAACATGAAAAATGAATTCAATGAAATTTATTAAGAACTTACATACACGTATGTATAAACATATACATATGTATACAATATACAAGTATATACACAAACACGCACACACAAGCAAAAATACAATTTTAAATGTAAACCAGCATTTTATTTTATACATACACGTACACATGAAAGACGCATTCAGTATAATGCAAAAGTGCACAACAACAAACTCAGTGATTTTCACCAGTGAAGTACAAATGACTTGAAATTCATACAAAAGAAATGAAGATAAAAATTAAATGCCATTAAAAATAATACAAAATGAATTAAATTGCATAATCAACTGTATTTGGAATATACATATATAATCACAAAAATATATACAAACAAAAAGCAAAAAAAAAAAAAAAATGCATTTACAAAAATAAAAATGAAAAACAATTGTAAAATAATCTGCGAAATTCCAAGCAGTTCACAAAAAAGCCAAGATATTTAGTACGAAAAGCCTCAAAAACCTCAAAGTTTTAATTGTATTGAAAAAAGAACTCACAGAAAATCAAACAGAAATGAAATATGCTTAATGCTGAAGTAAATGTTAAAATAAAAATAAAATATTTTTCTAAATGTACATTGTGAAGATTTTCGCTCAAAGTAGAACACAATTTTTATTAACGATGTAAGCGTGTAAATACTAAAAAAAATATATATGTATTATGTATATTAAAGAGATACAATATAATTAATTATCAATATGCCAAGTAAAGTAAAGGAACTATAAGATAAAACATTAAAAAAAGTCATGTGTGAATTTTACAAAGCAAAAGAAAAAAACTTAATATTAGCATTTATGGAAAATAGCAATTTGACAATGTTTGCTTGCTTGCGCATGCGAAAGCACAAAGAGCGGCAAGCTAACGGTCCAAATTGCTACTTTTGCACATATCCGTAAATTATCTCAGGAAATACTATATTTAGATGATAAACTATGTAAAGGAATTAACAAATATCAGACAGAACAAAAACAAAGCAGAAATAAAACAGAAAAGGCTTTTTAGCTTTTAAGCTCTAGCAAATAGCTTAAGATGCTAGCAACGAGAGCTTCTTTTAGTACAGGAATAAGTAAATGTTTACCGAAAAGCTTAAAATAGATTTCAAATCGCAAAATTATAAAGTTTAAATCCGATTCACTCGAAAACTCAATAAAACTCAGCGAGTTAAATGCCAGCTAATGCATCAGTAAAAAGCTCACATAGCATTGCACAGTTATGTAACAACTTTTCCACACTTGACTTAATGAAGAGCTTCGCTAGTGGGTTTTTTGGTAATTTGATGCCAATTAAATTCTATTTTTCTGTTTAAGCTTTCATTTGCGTTACCAACTGTAAGCTTTTACCTATCCCGTTTTGCCAGCGCATTAGTGGCAAATGAACCGCGAAATGTGTACCACAACATATCCCAATGATTTTAATATAAAAATATTTACATAAACTTTTTTTTCCTTTTTTTCATAAAATTAAAATGCATTTCAAATCAGCTAATAAACCACACACAGTGCTAATGAATATTTTTAGCTTAAAGTGTTTATAGCTGTGAACACTTACATAGGTACTATACATGTACGTATGTGCATACATTTAAGTTTTTTTTCGTAATGTAGTGGTAGACAACGGAGTTTCCTTAAAAAATATATGTATATTTTAATTTTAATTGTTTTTAACTAATTTTAGTTTTGTTTTGTTTTTGTCTTATGTACTCTTAATATATGCGTATTTTTTGTAAGTGTAATTTAAAGTTGAAAACAAGATAATTGATCGCGTGTGTATGTAGTTAGCGCGCTAATATTTATTGATTTTTTTTTTATCAAAATTTTAAAATTAAAAAAAAATACAACAAACTGTGATCTATTTTCTCTCAAATTTACATACAAAATTCTCGTTTGGCTGTTAACTATTTTTATAAAAATATATGATATCAACAAATTAAGCAAAAATTAAGCAAAATCATTTTTGTGCAAAATTTACGTTTAGGCCACACGTGCAAATTTATAAAAAAAAAAAATTATATTATATTTTTTTAATTTTTTTGGAGCGACTCAAATCATCTAAATTTATACATACAAACCCATACACATACAAAAATGCAAATACATACATACAATAAGAAATTATAATTACTTTGTCTGTATATAAGTTAAACAAGTGTATTGTATTTAATTTATTAATGGTTTAATATACTATAATTACGATTAAACATTTTATTTTTCTTCGAGCAAAAAGTTGATAAGAAATGCAAGTTTTAAAAAATACATTCATAACGAATGCGAAGTTTCAAAATCCTTAACTCGTCTTTGAATTTGTTAATAAAGTGAAAACATAACAAAATTTTAATAGAAATTGGCTTTTATTTGTTGAACAATTACTGGCTATGCGTGACCAAAAGTGCGCTTACGTTTTATTTTCTGAAGTGATGTTTAATTAGATGCTCACGAGTATATTACATGTTTGAGTACTTCAAAATCGTTTCATTTTATTTTTTAAAGTTAATTTTTTTTTTTACAAAAATATTTATGTTGGGAAAAATTGGTATAACGGGAGATAGAAAAACTTATCCATAGCTGTGCTAAAATATTCGCACGTCCAAATTGTTGAATAGAAATTGCCCTGTAAGGCACACGATTTCAAAGACCTTTACGATCTTTTTCACCATGTCTACCAGCTTGTATAGTTTCAAAATATTGTACATATTCTTAGAAAAGCTAACGGAAACAATCGCAGTGAAATTTCAAAAATAAGCCCTCATATCAGAACTTTTACCAAATTCATACTCAAAAAATACTGTTAAAAAATTAATATGATAACATGCTATGTACCAACATAAAAAGGAATCTTTAGATAATTGGAATTTTTATTGTATTTTAGTCAAAATTATTGAAAAAAATTATTTAACATTAAGTACATTAAAAGAAATTTAACTCTTAAGAGATTTATTCAAAATTTTGCTCTTCCGCAATGAAAATTTATTTTTGGATTTTAGTAAGAAGCAAAAAAATTTAATGAAACCAAACACAAATTTTAAGAGAAAAACAAAATCTGTGATTTGAAAAAATTAAATAAAAATGAGAATTAAAAATTTTAAAATGTTTAAGCAACAACAAATACAAAAATATGTATTTCCATATCTCTTACTTATGGCTTTTTCGATTTTTTATTGATAACTAAATTATTGTCAACTATAAGAAAACTCAAATTCGTGTTGTTAATGTTACGATTTACTATATCTCAAAAATCAGGGCTCTTGAAATTTTCAGGCAATAATTATAGGAACTGTTTCAATATTTATTAAAGAGATAAGCATGAATAAAGAAATTAAAAAACGTACATATTTAAAGAAACATTAAAAACCAACATTGGAGTTAATCCATCCCTCAGACTTACATCGGTCCATAATACGAAAATTTAAATAATTGAATGCAAAAGCACACACATACACTCATAGGTGTAAAAACTGAAAATAAAATATTTACAAAACCGAAAGATGCAAAGTTTTCCATACAGAATTCGGTAACAAGAATTAAATGGAACTTGCGCGTAGTGGAAATATGTATTAATACCATTATGTGAAAACCTTTGAAAATATCAAAATCAACCAAATGTATACAAATGAAAATAAAAATACCGTATAATGAAAACAAAATCAGTATTTTTCTTGCTCCGTAACTAAATAATATTCATAGAGGAAATAAATATACACGGAAAAACATACATATGTATATTCACTACCTTTCAATTATCTTTTAAATTTACAAGTTCGGTATCTTTACAAGGGCTTCTAACGTTGAGAGACAGTCAACAACGCTATTATTAAAGTAATTTTGAAATATTCGCAATTCTTTTGTAGCCGCGTCAAGAGATGCATTATTTAACACATGAAACCCTACTTTCATTATGCAAATTTCTCAGCTCAGCCGTTTTTACACTCGATACTCACATTCTGATTTAAATAAACAGTTGGATATTGCACTTTTTCCGGGTGTTAAGTAAAACTACTGAAAATATTTTAAAAGTAAAAACTTTCAAGCCTATTTTCGAAGCTACCGCCGGAAATTATTTCATCTGCTTCTTCGTCGCTAACCATTCACAATAGTAAAGTGATAAAAACATGTACTTTATATACTTTAAATATACATTAAATAATTCCCGTTATTTGGCTAAAGAATGGCTTAGAACGGGTATCAGCTAGTTATGGATAACAAGGTTTATAAAGTGAGCAGTAAACTGTGCGCTTACGGCAGAATAAACTGTAACTGCGTGTTTACCGGAAGGTTAGCACCCTGTAAGAATGCTTATGATCATCTGAGCCAACATATGTCAGGAATGCCGGAGGCCATATCTCGTCAGCTCGTAAAACGGCTTTTCCATCCTATTCCTAAGGCAGAAAGGACGAATGTGGTATTTACATTTGTATACGTTTGCGTCATTCTCTCTTCGTTTCCTTGTGCATTTCCGTCATTCTTGTCGGACAAACGGAGCACAGCTGATCGACAGCATTGACACCAAAAGAAAACAAAATTGACGTAAACAAAGGCAGCAGTGCCGTACAAGCGATACACAGATGAGCGACAGCATTGATGCCAAAGTAAATCAGCTTTGAGCAAAATGTTCCCTACATATATACAAACATTATTAAGGTATTATTACATAATCCCGTACATAGTTTATATAGCATACAAAATAAATAACAATAAATACGTTTTCAAAAATCAGCAATATATTATAAACAAAACCTTATATGCAAACTGCGTTGGTGGCGGAGCTCCTCAGCTCCACGAAAGCCTCCGTCACAATCGCGACTGCTTTGAAGTTCAAATAAAATGAGAATGTTCGTATCAGAATGCTGTTAATATCTAAATGCATTCGGACCTCGCAAAGCTTTAGAATATGTTTTGATCTGTCACTGCAAGGTAGAAGCGTCCGTTCAACAAACAAATTATGTACAGGATGGGACAGTTCACAAAGTAGACAGCGTGAAATGATCGAACTCGATAGATTTGAAAAATCATTGAGGTTAAGTTAACAAAACTATTACGGTATATTATACTTTTGGGATGAAACGACTTTAGCTAAATGCGCCTCCTTTACTTCCCAAATTCCGCGAACTCGATCGCTGGCTTAGCTTCTTCAATATTTAGTATATAGCTTTTAAAATTCCCAGTTTCTTCACAGGTATATACAAAAATTAACTCGCATTATCTTATAGCGATGTTGCCGCTGCTGAACACAACTGAACATGTTATAGTGTTGCCTGCTCTTATATTTCGCATACATCTCTGGAAGGTTCTTGTTTGAATATAATAGTTAAAACCATCTCAATTGCCAGAATAACAGCAAAATGTCTTGATCTGTTTATGTTCTTTTAAATAGTTATGTTTGGAAGGATACCAATTACGTTATCTGATCTGGGCTTTACGCGAAGAGCAAATAATAAAATATATCGATAACTGTCACGTAAGACAATTGACAAAACAGCTGTTGGCAAGTTGGACATTCACAATCGTTGTAATAGGAAATTTCACACCAAAGCAAATGTCAAATAGACAAAGTGCTCATAGGTACATAAAAATTTTGGCTGATTTTGTAAATGTGTAAAAATTGTTAGGAATTGATTGGAAAAGCTGAAAAAACTAATAGAAATTAATAAATTGTGAGGTTTGGTAGCGATCGACCAGCGCCATGGCGGAGCATACGTTCCTGGGCACTTGGGAGGTAAGTAAATGCCGGCTAAAACTTTTTGGTAAGCACCAATGTTTATTGGAATTACTTTAGATCGTTTCATGCACTTTTGAGCTTAAAAAAGAAATCTCCGGCTTGGAAGGGTAAGCTTTGTTATTAGTTAGTGGATAAAATTGATTACTAACAAATTTTGATTTTAGGATTAAATTTCGACTGGATGATACGAATGATATTACTTGGTATAATGATTTAGTTAATCCACTTCCTGAATCAAAAGACTGCGGCACTTGCTGCGATTCGGCGAGTGTCTTATTTAGTTGTGAAACCTTCGATGTGAACGAAACGAATCCACGCTTAGTATTCGGCGCGTTTGCTGGGCATAGTATAGAATTTAGGGTTAGTATTCAAACCAAATATGCAATTCTAATTTAATTTTTCGTGTATGGTTATGTGTGTATTATCTGTTATAGACTAACACTTTAACACCGACTGATACGCTAGTTTTGGATTGTGAAAACTGGTATGCATTGGAATGTAAACGATTGAAAGAGTGTCATGCAGCAGGTCAAGAGAGGGAGTTCTCTTTCGCGGAAGCGCTGCAGGAATCATACTTTACAGATGTAATCATCAAAAGCTCGGATGGTTTTGATGTATGTAGTATCTCTATTGAGTTTGTAGCTGATTAATGTAACATTTTTCAATGTTTTAATTTATTGAAAAACAAAATAATAAGATTATTATTTGATTATTTTCTGATTTACTTTTATATTTTTAGTTATTGTTTGCTGGTACTTTTGGTTAACTGTTTCAGTTCAAATTTTCTTGTTGATCAGGTGCTAATACTGGTTTTAGTGCTTGAAATTGAAAGCGTAATATTAAAATGTCTATATTTTAGTTCCACGTACATTCATCCATTTTGCGTCTAAATGGTTTTGACTGCAGCATGTGTGTGATTTCCAATGGAACAATACTGCCGCAGCAGCCAACCTCTTGCAAAAGTCACGACAAAACGCAGAAATGTCAGAACAGTGATAATGCTTATGCCGTACATAGTACCCATGGTACCAATCCCATCAAGATCTCCGTGACGCTACCCATATCAAACTCGAAAAATAATGATGATAATCAAATATCTTTGCCACGCCTCAATCTCTCACCCATTTATTTGCAACCGCCAACTGAATATGCAAGCGCTGCCACAAACAGCGGCTTAGTGGCTAATCGTGGCGCACATTTGTCAAATTCTTTCAATTGTCTCTCGACCAACAGTAATGGCGCACATTCTGGTAAAAGTGCAACGCATGGTGAAGGCGCTGGCATGCGGCGTTTTCCGCCCACTTCGAACTCGGATTCGCATCTTGAAACTCAGTCTCACTGTAGAAATATATTCAACTTTTGTCAAGATTTCTTACTTCAACCGACGGACACAACAACTATATGCAATACACGACGTCCACCCTTATCACCATATCGTGCACGCAGTCCTTCACCATTTCCCAGCTCCATGGACACACCGCCTTCTTCGCCGTTGACACCAGTTGGAGTTTTATACAACTTGCCAACATTTCTACTGACGCCAGTACTGCATTGGCTCTACACGGAGTCACTGATGCCCGATATGGACGAAAACGTCTGTGAGAAATTGATGAATTTTGCAGAAACGCAACCGTCGCTTACGAAAATGGTGGAACCAACGAGAAGATATCTCAAGCTTATTCAGCTGAAAAAGTGTAAGAGTACATTAGAAAATTGTTTGTGGAATATTTTTATTTTTTCTATTACCTCCTTTTTGTCTAATTTTTGTAGTTGTGGTTAATACGCTAATGGATTCACATACCGTGCTCAATCATATTATACAAGCAATCAATCCCATTACCATACTACACGAACCCGCCTCACTCTATGCGACATTCAAAGACTGTCTCAAAGAGTCTGCTATCGGTAGGCTATCATTGCTTTTTAATTTTATAAAATTTTCCAATTACTTTTATGCTATGTTGCTTGTAGGATGTGCCAAAGTATTGCAGTTTTGTAATATTTTCATTCGAGATGCCGCTGATATCACTCGCTACCAAAAGAATGAGATCATTAAATATGTGCGTACAAGAGTACCAATTTTTATGTCGCAAATACATCAACTTCTGCGTAATATTTTGAATGTTTTCTTGAGTCTAACGGGAGAGGAGAAAGCAGATTTAGTTAATTATTTGGTACCCGAAGTAAGTATGAAACTTAGAAATAAAACTTTAAGTCTTACTTTAAACTTTGCTTCTAGATTGGATCTGCACTAGCAGTATTGACTGAGGTGGCAGAAGAAATCAAAAACTCTTTGGAAAAAATGTGCAAAGTGAGTAATTAATAAAGTAAACCTAAAATATTAAGTACGCACATAATTTTCCTTTTTATTTTGAAGGATTTGAATTGTTCACATTTGGATTTATCAGTGAGACAAAAGCAGACGGAGAAAAACGCTTTTATAAGCGCCAATGTGGTTTTAGAAGATAATGGCGTACCGTTGTTTAGTCCACCACCTATGTCACCAAGACCAAGACGAGGTCCTCCGCCGGGACTTACGCTTTACGATAGCCCAACAGACAAATCACGTCTAACGAGCGCCGAGAATGATCTTAAATTCGTTTTGTATATGTATGAAGTAAGAAAGATGCGTGATATTTACGGGCGGATCGCCACAGCGCTTGAAATTATCAAAGACAAAAAGTATATGTATCAGAAAATATAATAATAATTTCTAATAGTTTCCCTTATTTTTAGGACTGCGTACTGTGAAATGGACTTTTTGAGCAAAAGAAGCACGATTAATCAAAATTTGGAACAACTCATCATCGATATACCCACTTACATTCTGATTATGGAAAACCTTTCCGATCGAGTGGATGAAAAGTTGGGTTGGAAGGAGTTTAAATTCTGCTTTAAATTGGCGACAAGTCAAATTGTGCGAGTATTAAAGTTTTTTAGAATACAAATATTAATTTATGTTACATTTCAGAACGGTGTAATTGTAAAGCTTCTTGATCACAAGTCTGCGCTGCGTGACTCTATTAGTAATGTAAGTGTCTTGTAAAAACTCCTATTTTGCCTTTATATTCCACAAACCTCTCTCAATAGGTATGTAAGCTGGTGCAAAAGCATGAATTTACCGAATCTCTAATGGAGCTGGGGCTTTTAGAGCCCTCCAATATACTTGAGCACGAATTAAAGTTAACAGAACTGGATAACAACATGGAAACGTTAACCGATGAGTTTGCTATGGAACGCCGACGTTCATATGATTACAAGAATGTTAAGGTTAATTTTTTGCAATGCTTCAAGTCAAATATTGAAATACCTAATACTCAAAGTTTTTCGTCTTTTGTATACAGTTAAATTTGACCAAACATTTGTGTGAGCCACCCACCGCTGCATATAGTAATTTATCGAAGAATGCCTTGCGCTTATTGCACTCAGCTCAGTTGGCTGATATGGAATTCGAGGTGCACACTTATACGCAGAGCGATAGTCAGTTGCCTGGCATAACAGTTTTGAACAAGGATGACATAGAGATGCCGCAAGCGCAGGATCATGCACAGTCCCGGCATGCGGTGCAACTGCTGCGACCATCAACACAAGTGCACACATTTCGGGCACATAGAGTGATTGTGTCGGCCCGCTGTGAGTGGTTTAAGAAGGCGCTGCTCTCTGGCATGCAAGAAAGCATTAGGAGGTAAGTTAAACCACGGGACGCTGCCTTACGAAAATGAACTCATTGCTCAAACTTTGATTGCAGAAAAATCGTAATAACCGATACTTCGCCGGTGATATTTCGTCGCTTGTTACTTTACATCTATGGCGCACCGATAGACAAAACAGTGGGTGCTGAACAGATTTGTGAATTGATGCTTTTGGCTGATCGCTATTCCATCTGTGATTTAAAAGTAAGAGTTTATGAGAGTTAAATTCGTAGTATTTCCTGCTTCATTCAAATTTCACAACATAATTGTAGGCGTTATATATAATTGAAACATTGTATCACACGTTTGCTATGTGCAAGCTGGTGATAAAGCAGCTAAGTTCAGCAGACTATCACTCAAATCACTCCCTAAGTCCGTAGCCAATCTTTTATTACTTCCGACTTGCGGAAGCACGACATAGTGGCTCAACTACTATTGGGTTGCCCAAAAAGTAATTGCGGATTTTTTAAAAGAAAGTAAATGCATTTTTAATAAAACTTAGAATGAACTTCATCATTGCCGAAAGTTTTACCATTTAAGGAGTTCTGCAAATATCGAAATAAATGTCTGATGGTGCAAGGTCAGGGCTGTATGGTGGATGCATCAAAAGTTCCCAGCCAAGCTCACNCAGTCAGTCATACATACATACATACATACATACATACATATTTTTATGATGCAACTTATCGTGCTGTTTAACTTAAAACCAACAAAAAACAAAGAAACGTTGATCGCTATTCCATCTGTGATTTAAAAGTAAGAGTTTATGAGAGTTAAATTCGTAGTATTTCCTGCTTCATTCGAATTTCACGACATAATTTAAGGCGTTATATATAATTGACACATTGTATTACACGTTTGCTATGTGCAAGCTGATGATAAAACAGCTAAGTTCAGCAGACTATCACTCAAATCACTCCCTAAGTCCGTAGCCAATCTTTTATTACTTCCGACTTGCGGAAGCAAGACAGAGTGGCTCAACTACTAAATGAAGGGGCGTTTATCGTCCTAAGTTCCCCTTCTCCTTAGCAGTGAAGACACCAGAGTTATTGCGGCCGGCGTCTTTCAATAACCATTTGAGCTAAGCTATCAAATATAGTACTAAACGTCATAATCGCTCAGATAATTTACAGAAAGTTCCGCAATATGGTATATCCCCCATCACGAAAGGTGTTACTTAATCTCAAAACTGACTGACTGTGATAAGTCGATATTGGCACCCGACCTTTTTCAATTCTTTATTACTACTAGATCTGAGAGTTAAAGTCTATGGAGTGAAAGTTTCGGCTGTTAGCACACTATAACGGGAAACCTCCTAATGCTCGGCGAAACAACTTGTTTCTGAGGCTGCATTTGCCAAGTGGTTTCAGGAGTAGATTCCTTCATTTGTTTGTCGAAAAACATCAAAACTCAAACCACACATCTGAGGAGAGGGAGTCGAAAATTGCTTCAGCGGTTACAAAGCGCCAATTATTATAGCTTATGCTACAAGTCATGCAGAACCTTCGAAGTGTAACATCTGTAAACTTTTGGCAGCTACCGAATTAATTGAAAAAGTAAATGCAAAAAAGAACCAAAGTCCCAGGCTAAATACTCACTTTGCCGTAAGCCACTCAAAATACGAATCGTGATTGCGAAAATAGATGAATGGTTTCTCCTTTCTGCTACAGTGAGTACTTATGTATTTTGTACGCAAGCTGAAATTTTGATGCCAAACATTAAATAACCTGAAAAAGGAGTTCGATGTCTGATTTCCTCTCCCAATTAATTCACAAATTGTTGTTGTTGTTGTTGTAGCGGATTCACTAACCCCGCTTAGGCACAGGCTTGAATTAGTCTAAGTCGTCGAGGTCATCTAAAGGTAGGCCCAGGAAACGAGCTGTTTCGACGGGGTTGGACCAAAGGGAGAGGGGTGTTAGATGAGTAGGTTTGAGGGGGCATGTGAAGAGGTGGTTAGTGTCGTGCGGGGACTCTCCACATGCCGGGCATACGTTAGGTATGCTGGGGTCTAGTCTGGATAGGTAGGAGTTTAACCTACTACAATATCCAGGCCTAAGTTGTGTCAGGGTCAAGCGGGTCTCTCGAGGCAGCTCGAGCTCGTTGTCTGCTATGGGTGGTGGTATTTCGGAGACCTAACCCCGTTTAGGTCTACAGGTAACCTTAGTCTCAAATTGTTCTTTACTGTCGCTTGGTCGTATCCTCATTTGCACTGCAAGCTGAACTGTAAAATGCATGTTACAAATAAAAAATTTAATACAATTTTCTTCAAGGAACTTTGCGAAAACACATTAAATTCACAAATCGACGAGGAGTCTGTGCTTTGCTTGCTGGGCATTGCGGATCATTACATGGCAACAGCGTTGAAGACCAATTGTCTATCGTTCCTCTCTCAGCATGCGAATATTACGAAACAGGAAATGTTCAGGGAGCTGCCGCAATCCTTACAGGTATCCTTGATGATTTCATGCTCAAAATCTCAATATTTCATAATTTTCTGTTTCAACGCAGTTGGAAGTAATGGATTTGGTACATTGGTATGGACGCGTCTCTGAGCCTTGGAGTGATGGTTTCAAGTCCCGCAGCGCATCACGTCACAGCTTGAAAAGCCCTTCTAAGCCACGCTCTAGGTCGCGCAAATCATCACCTTCTTACATCTGACGTTGACTGCGAATTGCTTTGGCTTTAGGGAAAAAAACGAAAACATACAGCCGCGAACTTGGGTAGATAGAACTAAAAATCTGCATGTAAAAATCATTTTCGGATAGCAAGGAAATAGCAATATGTATATACATTGCAAAAGTAAATTCCGAGAAATGAAAGGTTTTGCTAAGGTTTGCAAGTGAAGCTTTTTTATTCAAAGCTTGCAGACTACATAACATTGAATTGGCGCTGCAGGTGTATGCAAAGCTTGATAAGAACCCAATAATTCACTGAATTCATCGTGATTGAAATATAGAACGGTCCTAATTGGCATTTATTCGAAATTTTCTTCATTACATTTGTAAGCAGCTTAACAATTGTTAGCTTTTAAATTTTTGGAAATTTCTTATTTTCAATTGCGCAATTCACTTCAAAGAAGATCTAACTGTATTACAATAGAGACAGATGCATACACCTTAACGTATATAGTATTTTGTTAATGCTTTTTTTTTAACCACTTTGAAAATTGAAAATGATGAGTTAGGACCTCATTACAAACTAACACATGTAATATAGCACATCGATTTGTTCAAATTTTTCTTCCAAAACTTTTGTTAATGCTAGACGTGCGTGTGCTTGTATTTAGGTGTGATTCTAAAATTATTGTGTTGTATTGAAATTTTTCGAAATGTTAGCTAAAAAATGGTAGTTTACTTTTTAAACTATACATACTTATATATATTGTATAATAACTCTATGGTACTGATACATATCCTTGTTATGTACTTGTACATTTGTTAAATATTGTATTCTCTGAGCAAACTTTTATCTGTGTTGAAAGTATTAAGTATTATGTATAAGCGATTGATTTATTTAGACAAATTTACCATTTTGAAAATGTTTAGCTAACATGTTGTGTTACATACATAAGTGTAAACGAAGTTTATAATGTATTTTATGGGGAACAGTCATACATACATACATACATACATACATACATACATATTTTTATGATGCAACTTATCGTGCTGTTTAACTTAAAACCAACAAAAAACAAAGAAACGTATTTACATGTATTTTCTAGTTGTAATTGAGATATGTAAAACTATAAGACATTTTGAAACTAGAAATGCAACAACAAAAGCAACACGAGCCATTGAATAGTTTAAGTGAAGATGAATCTTTATGTAAAACGCCGTGGCTTAATTAAAGCAAATTACAAACTGCATTAAACGCAATAGAAGAAATGATTTCCCGTAATTTTAATGGAAGAATAGAAATAAGTGATGTACTAATTAATGCATAATATTCACTAAATATATTTATTGTTGTCTTTTAATTCTTTCAACAAACCAAAATAAATTGTCTATTCAAAGTGAAAAATTGATTTTATTTGCTAGCACTTTTGGATATGTCTGCCTGTGAAGAAAAGAGGCGAGAACTGAAATGTTGAGTATGAGCCAAGTGTTCCTAGGGGCGTTACGAAACACTTCTTCTTCTTCTTCTTCTTTATTGGCGTTGGCACCGCTTACGCGATGAGGACCGAATCAATCTTAACGCGCCATTCCACTCTTTTCGCTACCTGGCGCCAGTTGGAAATACCAAGTGAAGCAAGGTCGCTTTCTTTTCACGGGTCTTTTACAAGATTTGGCGCTTGGTGAATATCTGGCCAATGATTGACTTACCAGGTCTGAAGCCACACTAATAAGGTCCGATCAGTTTGTTGACAATGGGCTTAGTTTTTCACACAATGGGCTTGATAGGACCTTACATGCGATGTCAAGAAGGCTTATTCCACGGTAGTTGGCGCAGACTGAGGGATCGCCTTTGGAAGAGCACACTTAGGTTCCAATCGCCGTACGGCCAATTGCCTTGTTGCTAGCGGCTAACGGTTTAAGGATTTTGTTCGGGCTCTATACTTTAGCAGTCATAAGCAGAATGAATAAGTGCTGGCTAAGGATGCGACAACAACGTTCCTTGTCTCATCAGAGTAATTCTAGTTATTCATTTTTATATACGAGTGCATGGATAACGACGTTTCAACACCACCTGATATTAATAATGGTCATGAAATTATCGTTATTGACAGCATGTTAAGTGCAAACCCGAGTCAAGTTAATCCTTTTCCGAATAAGATTAATCAAATCTTAGATCTTATAGAAAGAATGTGCTTTCCCAATTTGCAAATCGGATATGCATCAAGTCCAAAGTTTCCTAGTTTCATCTCCGTTTCAGACAGCAATACCATCAAACGTTATAATTAATAATCGTAACGCCGACTTTCCAAACTGATTGATCAATTTTCTAGTTTTCTCTCTTTTGTTCGCACTCTTTTGCATGAGCTTTCGTGGTGTATGAAGCGCGTAAAAGAGTTAAAAAACTCAGTCATAAATTTCGTAATTTATTTAGGGCCAGTAATGTAAAGATTTGAGGAAGAGTTAAAAACGCACCTTGTGGAAATACATACATATTATATATCCACTCTAAAAAAGATTGTTTCAATATTTCTCTTGCATGTCCCACTGTGGGAGGAGTTTGGATACTGTAAATCTCTGAATTTTTCAAATCTTACTAAGGTGAGAATGTTGACGATTCCGTCTGTAAAGACTTGGAAATTTCGCAGACTTTTGATTTCGGTAGTCTTTCAGTCACAAAATTGATTGTCTAGAATGGGATTGCTGCTTTGCAACTACCTTTGAGCAGCGATTTGGACGAGGAAAAGCCCTTCTTATGTATTCAAAAAGTGCTGCTCGTCTATTTCCGCTCCCTTAAAATACATTTTTAATCTTTCGCTGTTCGTTGACGTTTTCGTTAATATCGAATTCTTTCTGATAATAAACTATCTTTTGTAAATGAATTTTTGGATCTTGGTGCGTTGTTGATGTGGGATTTACCTTCACTAATCACATCAACTGCAAAGACCCGGCACGCGTAAAATTTTATATAATTCTTAGGTTCGGTCAAAGCTGGCTTAGTTTGGAATCCAATTTGTTACACGCATTCCTCTAGACTTGAAACCGTCCGGTGTAGGTTCATACGTTTCGCTCTTACTCCGCTTCATTTCTCTGGTCTCCTGCTTTCTTACACGACCCGATATACGCTAATAAATCTGAAATCTCTTGTCCTTCGACGATCTATCCTGTCATTACTATTTATTTATGACGTGATCAATGGCTTAGCGGACTGCCCAGAGCGGCTTGAGCAAATCAGCTTTAATGTTCCTCATTATCTGTTCTATTTAGATGCAGTTAAAGCCAATTAGAGCTCTAACTATATTAGAGCTCTCCCTGAGTTTAATAGAATCACTAGAAACCTCGATCTTGATTTCAGATTCCTGAGATCTCGTTTTCGCTCAATTATTAATGCTTTCTATTCATGGTCTACAAATTCGGCCGCGGTAGCCGTGTGGTTAGCATTGCGTACTGACATTCGTAAGGCTCGGGTTCAAATCCCGATGCCACCAACAAACCAAAAAGTTATGGAAAATTAATTTAAATAAAAACTAAGTGAAATTTTTCTAATTGCGGTTGCCCCTCGGCAGAGAATGTCCATGAAATAAAGCTCCTCAACCGACGCAAAACCACAAATTGGAGGAGGAGCTTGGCCAAAAGATCGCTTCAGCGGTTACAAAGCGCCAATTATATATACACATATATCCAAACATGGTTTTATTTTGTTAATTAATTTGTAAATTTGGTTTGTAAGATTTGCAAAATCATTGACTTAATTAATATGAAATGAATTGATTTGAAATGATTTAGCATCTCAAATTCTAAATTTCCCAAAGGGTGTTTTATTCATTAACACGTGCTCACCTTTGTGCGCCTCTTTACCTTCACTTGCCTGTGTGCTTACCTACTTTGTTAGCTCTTACGTAAACTTGGCACGAATAAATATACCGACGGGTCGGTCCATCTGAATGGTTCGCGAGTGAATGGCACTGGTCAGGACCGGGTTCGTTTTTCAGACCAATCCGTCTATTTTAAGGCTTTTTAAGAATGCGACAACACTTTGTAGTAGAAATTTGGCCCCAAACCCGCTACGCTAAGAATGTGTATATTTATTAATTTCTGCGTTACGTTATCCATATGTACATATGTACATAAGTATATATTTGTAATACAGACATGTTTTTGCTCTGCACTTATCAAAAGCACCATGTAAAATCGTACGTCCTATACATATTTATTTAACTACTTTTTGTATGTATGTACATACATACATACGTGTATGTAGAAGCTCATGCTTGCATGCACCGTGAGACTCGTAAACTCGCTCGGCTCGTAGCTCTTGGGCACGTTGGAGGCGTTTTGTTGACGGTCGGTCCCACTTCATTTTGTTGCCAGTTGTTTCTGGTATCCTGCATCTTCAGAGTTCATACCGTCCGCCGTTCGCTTGCCGGTTGGCTCCTCCACCCCCTGACTCATTCGCTTTGTAGTTGATTATCTCGCTTGATGATGCTTATTGTTGTTTGAGGAGGCTGTTGTTGCCAGAGTGTTTGTTGATACTTCTCTGTAGGCTTGTTGCTGATGATGGCTTTGAGATTGTTTCGGCACACCAATGAGTGTAGGTCGCTGTTGCTGTTGCTGTTGTTTTTAATCAGACATGCAACTACGTGTATACAATTTTACCTGGCCTGTTGGGACGGCTGTGTTGGTAACTAAAGTAAAGTTGTTCCTCATAAAGAGTTAAAAAATTAAATTAAATCGCAAATTTTTTGTTACGTCTACCTTATATTCTAATTGTTTTAAAAAATAATTTATCTATTTTCTGGGACTGTAGTTCATATTCGCAAATAAAAGATTATCCTTAAATTTGTATATATTTTTTTGTTCAATTGCTAGTAGTTATTGGAATTGTAGAGATCACGAAATATGAAATCACTTCGATCTGATTAGAGTAAATAAGTGATAATCTTTTAGTAAATCCCTTTACTTTATACGAATCTTTTTTAATGGATGAATTTAATTTAATTTAATTTAGTTTCTTCAACAATTTGTTGTCAATGTATTGCTCATCACGTTAGCGTATCCCTACAGGGTATCAATACGTGTGTAAAAACGTGTTTTGTTGTTGCCTCTCTTGTGGTTGTTACTTATCCATTATTTCCACTTCATCGTGAATTGAGGGTAATACGTGCTTTAAGTCAACTTTTATGTTTGTTAAATACTTATACACACATTTATGCATACATTGCAGTTAGTGTTAAATTTATCCAGTCCCTTTAGGTGGTTTTCATTTGTAGTGATTTGATCCAGCGACAATTCCTAATATTTCGGCGAAGTTGAAGCATAAACAATCCCTTCGCATGTTTGGGAAGAGGGAGCTTGGAGCGATAAATGTAGTATTTCCAGTGTGGATATAGATCTTGCGCCCGGAAATTTCAAAGCTGCAGTGTTTTCACACTCATGGACGACCTGGTATAGCTAGAGTAGCTTCAGTCGCTTAGTTCGCTGAACTTTGTCTCTGTGGTCGTATATCTCATTATTTCATTGTTTGTAGCATCCATGTGACGGCCGACTTAATGGATGTCGCCGCCTAATCAGTCCAAAGGAGCACCCGTTGAAAAGAGCGATTATGCGTTGGATTTCAAGGTGTTAATGCCGGTTGATAGGCAAAAGTACCTTCGCTTATTAGATATATATATATATATAATTGTCGCTTTGTAACCGCTGAGGCGATTTTCCGCCGAGCTCTTCCTCCAAATAGTGGTTTTGCGTCTTGATGTTTTTCCAACAAATGGAAGGACCTACATTTTATACTAAGCCGCCTCCAAACGGCTAATGGATTTTTTTATGAGGAGCCTTTATTTCATGCCAGAAATACACTCGGAGGGTTTGACATGCCCTGCTGAGAGGCGACCGCAATTAAAAAATTTAAATAAATTTTTTATTTTAAATAAATTTTCTATAACTTTCTTGGATGTTAGGACGACACCAGGATTTGAACCCGAGCCTTCCGAATGGCAATAGCCAATGCTCACCACTTAGCTACCGCGGCCGCCGTTTTTTAAATAGCAGGAGATATTTCGTCTTGTCCTCATTTGAAGAAGGTGATGACAATATTATTGGTAGACGCCAGCAGTTATAGAAGATTGTACCTTAGCGGTTTAGCTTCAGAGTCATAGATGATTCGTTTAGTTGGTTCTGATCAGCGTCAGTTTATTCACTCGTTTAAATTTCGCGGTGGTACTAAACACAGGCGGCGTAGCGGTCGTATCGTAGTCTTATTTAACATTGACGAAGTCACACTGTTCTGGTAAAATCAGTTCGTATGTGGCGGGTTTTGGTCGTTCATAACGCAAGCTTGATGCGACCTTCTCGACGACAGTGACGAGGTTTATCCTATGATAAATAATGCAGATCAAGGAGTCCTCCTTAAGCTTTGTGGGCAGAACGCATTTTTATAGGTTCCACTCATTAGGCATTATTTCATGCAACCGAAACTGCGCGATGCCGGAAGAGCTTAGAGCGGCTTATAGTTGACAGTAACTTTTTTTAGAGGTTGCCACATAATTTAAATATGAAATTTGAGCGTTAATCAAAATCAATTTTGAAACAGGCATATCAAATATGACCCATAATATATGCTTAGAATGTACATATGTATGTACTCGTATATTACTGTCCACAAAAGCCCTTAAGGTCAAGCAGAATAATGTGCAACTGAAAGAACTGCAAACATAAATTAAAGAATAAAAATAAATAAAACGCGAAAATGTGAAATTGGGCAATTACAGTGAGTTTTGACAAAAACCGCGACGGCGCGTTAGCGTAAACATCAACTAAGGAAAGCTACGACACACACACACATCCGAGTACGAGCAAAATCAGCGAATTGCGTTGATAAACAAATGCCATAAGTGGAAATTCCCATGCAAAGAGGGGCAGAAACAATGTTAAATACATAAATAAATATACTCAAATCCTCACAAATACTCACACATACCAACGCACATTATCACAATCATTGATGCGTTCACTCGTAAGCATCAGCATTTGCAATGCAACTCGTGAAGGGCCGCCCGTCGAGTGACAGTTGCGTTTGTGGGTGCAGCAGACATCAACAAACACACAAACATATGTTTATATATACAGTGAATCGAACTTGTGTAGCGCGAAGGCCGTTGCCAGCTGTTGGAAGTGACGAAGGAGAGCTCATTGAGCAACCGCCCTAAATGAACGCTCGCAACTTCGGGTGTTGAGTTATCTATCTCTTGTGCTGTCCGTTAGAGCTGCCGAAAGTTAAAATACCATAAATACATGCGAGTAAATGCTCTTTTGCAAGTTCGTCGTGCTGCCGTTGCTCACTGAGCATCTTCTCTCCAAGAAAGCACCACTGGAATGCACAACGCAAGAGAGCCAGCGAGAGATAGTGCCGCGCACACGAGCTGCCGAGCGTCTGTCGTGTGCCTTGGCATTACTGGCGACAACGCCATGGAGGAAGACACAGTTTTCCTAACTCATCAGACAAGGCTTTGACTTTCGTTCGTACGGCGGACGTCCTTGTCCTGCGTCGTGTGTGCCGTGAGTGGACGCGTTGACGCTGTCAGCAAAGAAAAGTTTCCATTTCAGGCAGTTTTTAAATCAAATATTTGCTAAAAATTTTAAACAGAAAATGTTGCAAAACTCAAGAAATTTGAGTGCGGAATTGAAAATTGAATTTGTTACAAAGGTGAGCTGAGAACCATTTAGAGTTGGGAAAGTGAAAAGGCCAGAAGCCTGAAAAAGCTGGGCAGTGAAGCAATGAAATACGCCGAATTTTGCAGCCCAGCGTTCAAGTCGTGGGGGAGGTCTCAGCCGAGCAGCAAAAGCCACGCCGCAGCAGCGCGTAAACAGCAGAGCACCGACTAAATAATCACTTTTTTGCTGCCTTTGCTCTCTGCTTCGGCTTTGTTTGTGTTATGTGATGTGTGAAAATACGCGTTTTATTAGGAAATCGTGAAAATACAATAGGCAGGCTAGCAGACGGTCAGAAAAGCTGTAAAAAGCAAGCAAATAAAAAATAAAACTAGTGATAAACAATGAAAAGTGAAATCAACGCCCCGAAACGAATTTTTCTTAACATTTTGCGTCATTTTTCGGTAAAAACAGAATTTAATTTTCGTAGAAGTATACGGTAGGCCTTCTGGGGGTGTTTAGTTAAGGGCAACGGCGTAGACGACCGAGCGGAGCATAAACATCAGACAGATGTGATTATAAACTCGGCAGCGAGTGATGAAAATAAGAAAGTAAAAATCAAAATCATAAAAATTGTTAAACCAATTTCACTTGCACAACAACAGTTGTTTATGATACTCCGGGTGAGCAGGAAAAGTGAAAAATTAGTAGAATTAAAAAATTATATGCGGAGGTTTTCTGTACAAATATATGCGTGCATGTGCATTAGGGTGAACTAAAAAAAAAATTTTTTTTGTTAAAATTGTGAAAAATTTTATTTTATTATAATAATAGAAAAAAAAACAAATCTATCTCATTGGTTTTATTAATTTATCTCTAATTAAATAAGCAAATATAAATATTTAGCTTAGCTTTTTGTTCGTAATTTTTGTTTAAGAAAAGAAAAATTTAAATAGAATTATATATATATATATATATAAGCTCCGAGACCACTTTAAATACTCACAAATTTTTAAATAAAAAATACTTAACTTTTTGAAATTTAAGAAAACTCTATTTTTAATAAAATTTTTGGATCACCTTAATATCCAGCCATGAATCGCATATCTATGTACATATATAAGTGTCAGTGCGTTGCGCAGGACTTAAAAATTTCGTCTAATTTGGCATACGAGTGTATGTGTGCTTCATGCTAATTTAGTTACAAAAATAAAATTAATTTTTTCAATTAAAAGTTAACAAATTAAATTTGCTTTTAATTTTAACTAAGCGAATCTAATTAAATTGCCACATAAGCCCTTTCGTTAAAATACAAACTTCTGTTACTCAAGCCGTACTTTTTTTTGTCTAGTCCTCTTACCCACCAACCTGTTCGCGATGCCTCCCAACTGAGGTTGAGGCACTCGACAAGGTCGAATAAGAATTTTTTCGTCAGCTCAAAAATTTTGCGCATTTCTTTAAGCTCAAACACACACACGCCACACATTCAGATGTAAAGACACACGAATCGTCGTCGCGCTTTGAACGCTCGCCAAAAAACACCGATGACTTGAGCCCGCGCGACAAGCAGCTGAAATAGTGAGTGGGTGATGCGAGATAACATTCGGTGGCTGCGAGACGAGGCGAAATTGTTTGTTACATGAAAACAACAACATCAACAACAATAGCGACAATAACATTCTGTCAGTGCGCCGACAGTCGACCTTTCCAAGTATTAAATAAGTGAAAATTAACACTTACATAAATGCAACTCTGCGTAGGCACTAGACTATATGCCACGGCGTATACGCAACGCAAATATTTTCGTTCCCCAAATGGGAAAAGAATGAAAAGTGAATGTAATAAATAAATAACTAAATAAAAAAAAGTGTTAACAATCAAATTATTATCAAACTAAATTGTATATAAATACAAAAACAGTGCAAAATAATTTAAAAATATTGCTTTAATATAAATAATTGACTAAAGTATAAAAAGTATGACATAAGTCAAAACAAAATTAAAAAAATTTCGTTATGTACCTGACAATTTCGCTGTTTTTTGTCTATGCACAAAAATTTTTTCAACAAAATTTATCGAATTGAAATTAGCTTTCTTGTGTAAATTAAAAATTCTGCCAAATTTAATTATTAGGTCATTTTTAATCATTGGAGAATGAAGAAAACGGCTCTCAGCTAGTTGATTAAATTTCTTATATAAGCATTTATAATACCAAACTGAAAGCAAATTAATTAAAGTACGTTAAATTTGGATTAACTGAAATTATGATGAATTAAAAAGTGAATTAACTGTCTAATCGCACATCACTATTTTAAACGCTAGACATTTGTAACATTTGACTGTCAGAGCTTCTCTCACGCACCCTTCCACTATTTTGGCATGCTACTCTCTCCAGGTTTATACTCATATACCCACATTCCAGGCTACTTGAGTTTATTACTCACTCTCTATGAGCTCTTAAGATGGGCTTATCCTTTATCTGTACTCCGCTCTATATGTCCTCTCTCTCTATCGCCACCTCTGCCTCTCTGGCGAACTCAGTACAGGTCGCTCCACTAAATTTCCCAATTGTTATACTTTATCACTGCGGTTTGTTTTGTAACTTGTTTATCGCTGCTGTTGTTGGGTTATGTTACAATATAACAAATAATTCCCAAGTATAACATGCAACTACAAATATAGAAGCGTATTTGTTGTCGTTATCCACACCAATACACCACAGTAACCATAGTTATGCCAACTAATGAATGCAGGCTGAAGCAGTTCTTAGAAGTCTGAAACAAACGCCTGTCATATAAATAACACATACATATGCACATACATATCTTACACATTATTTGCAGACATTTTCTCTAAGAATTTTGATCCTGAAAATTTCCTTTTCGTTTTTAATTTCGGTTTCAATTTCATTCGAAATCAATTAATACATTCGATTTTTCCTTTTCGTTTTTTGTTGTTCTTGCTTTTGAGAACTTTTTGTTGCTAATGCCATGCTCCATCCTTTGCTGGCTGTCTGAGTAGTGAGTCTATGCAGACAGTTAGTTACTCGTTGCGCACGCCATCGCTGTCGACAGTTCGCCAATGTACGTCCGTCCGTTCACAATTCGCACAGAATTCAATTTAAGCAGCGGCGTAACTTGAACGCGTTTTAAATGATTTTAAAATGTTTTCACAGTTATTTCCAAAATTATTTCGTCCGGTTGGATATTTTTGACGGCTTCAAGACAAGTTTCTAAATCTTCGGAAGTTTGTGTGTATACTAATGTACACGCATATATATATGTAGGTGTGTGAAAAAAATTAATTAAGCTTTAAAAATAAAATTGATTAGTTTTAAATATAAAAAAAAAAGAATATCGAAGTGATGGAAAAACAATAAATGCGAAAATTATTTAGTTAAAATTGAAATGAACGGTGGTGTTTCAATAATTCTGTTTTTGTTCAAAACTCAACAATTTTGGAATAAATTTTGCTAGACAGCTGAACCTTCCAAGCAGTGTTTTGGCCAAGTTTGAAAGAATTCATTTCATTTCGTAAGAAAAAATGCACTTGTTAAATAGTTAAAACATTTTTGCACAAATAAATACAGTTGATTGTTTCTATAAGGATTTAATAAATTGAGAAAATGTCCTTGGCTGATAAATTTTTAAATTTTTCTGAATTAAATGACATTTTTGATGTTACACATACTCAGAATGTGTTGACATATGAACGAAAAAATGGAATGATATCGTAAACCTTTTCGCGTGATTATCTTTTGCATCTTTTGCCCCAAGCAATGAAGCTTCATCGTGGGCCAGTGATTATCGATGGCATGGTGAATTCATTCGAGGTCGTAGATCACTCCAAGATGAATATTGTGAGGGTTGTCCGAAATCAGTTGTTGTTCCGGAAACTACGGACATTGTGCGCAAACTGACCGCCGTGGTCATCGTGAGGTTAAGACAACTTTAGGCTTTAGTGAGGTCAGCGTACATTCAATACTGCCTGAGCCTTTGACTTAAAGCTCGTGTCGATTTGTATACGAAAATGTTAAAAAATTGGTGCCTTGAAACACGTCTATGACAGCGTGGAAGGTGATGAATGGGGAACTTACTAAGTTGTAGACTCTATAGGTGTTTAAAGATGCACCAAATGCAACAAAAGTTATTCGCGTTCATAGCACTTGTGTCCCTAGAACAACGCAGAACAGTAATTTCAGGGTGGTACACAACCATTTGTTTGGCAGTTGTCTTTCAAGAAATCAGAAAAACCAACCGCCCAAGATAGATCACTCTTCACCACGACAATGCGCGCTCTCGCACATCGACTGAAACATTCGCATTTTTGAGCATTCGAAACTTCAATTTCACATGAGTCATCCAATGCATAGTCCTGACTTGACACCGAATGACTTATTTATATTTCCATATTTCGGAGGTACCTCAATCAGCATAGCAAAAGTGCCTCGATAATTGGTTCAAGCCAATGTAAAAGTATTTATTTAGATCTTAAAGGAATGTATTAAATGTTTTCAAAGTGGCAGCTCTACAAGACGACACAATTTTTACTGGCGGAAACTAAGTTGTTTCTCTAATAAATTGCTCAACAGAAGTGTTAATTGTTTTCGTTTTTGTTTGATTAAAAATACGTTAAATTTTTCAAAATTTTCCTTTCCGAAGTTGCATATTTTTTCATGATTTTTTTTAAGTCTTTTATATTAGATATTTATTTAATTAATAAATATAATCTTTTGGAAATTGTGTGCCTTTGCTAGGTATTGAATAAATGTCCATTGGACCTACAGCAATCTTGTTTTGTACGTCCGGCTCAAAATTAATCAGAATTTCCGTTAAAATATTTTTTTATTAAGAACTTTTCTATTTTTCTTTTAGGTGTGAATTCAATGCGATCTGCACAGTATTTTTGCTTATTTCCATCTCCTAAGACAAATGATTTCCACAATGTATTTCTACGTCCCTGCTCACACACAATCACACATAAGTCCATACACACGAGTGTGTACAGGCGCGTATGTGTATTTTTCCGGACCGTTGTGCACCTGCAAATTTCGTTGTTGGCAGACGTTGGCGTTATACTCTCGTTGATTTATTCATTAGTTATTTTTTTTTTGTTCGTATTCCATTTTATTTTCGTTTGGTTTTTGCCTTTTAATTATTTAAGATAATAAAGTTTTCAAGATAAATTATTTACATTACAGCAAACCGTCGGCCGGCCAGTCTGTATATGTTTTGCTGAACGTACATATGTATGTACATATGGCTGTATATACGAGTATTTTAGCGCGCAGCTCAGGTCCGATACTCGGCGACTCGGTCGACCCCTGTAGGCAAATCCAGCTGCCATTTGCCAACATCGGGCTGTTTATTCGTTTACACAACTTGTTTACAGTTAGATGTGTGTTTGCATGTATGCACGAACGTGTGTGCGCGGCAAGAATTGCTGAAAGAAAAACAAAAAACTGCAGTTTTAGCGAGTGTTTTGCTCTGCGAATGATTTTCATTTTGGCTTTTTTGTTTTTATTGCTGCTGCTTGCTTGCCTGCTACTTTCAGTGTTTTTGTTGTAGTCAATAAGAACAAATACGATTTGAATAGCAAGCAGGCATTGATCAAAGAAATGTCAATTCGGGCGTGTAGATAAATGCCTCCGCACATAAATACACACACATACATGTAAGCCGAGAAATAGCAAATGTTTCGGCAAATCAGTGCTGGAGTATTTTGCTCTTTGCTGTTCGCTGTTGCTGTTCGCTGCTCGCCCACCGGTACATTGGTTTTAATGCTATCTGCCGAACTCATGCGCCTCAATGTCACTTCTTCAAGCAACAGCAGCGGCAACAACAACAACAATAATATTAAAAACAAATAAATAACATACGCCAAAGCATTAAATAAATCACCTTGGCAATAGTAATGGGTAATCAATAAATTCAAATGAAACAGTCGAGCAAGGAACTGTGCAGAAACCAGGCAAATATTGAAATTGAGAAAAACACCTTAAGTGTGAGTTTCAATGGAATTTCAATTCGAAGATAGCAGTGCTTGATAGGGATATCGTATTTTCGTGCATGCAAGGTGGGATGGATACCGAGAGTTGAAGAGGGAAGACAAAAAGAAAGGGGCCCAAATGCGTGAATATGAAGAGCTTGAGGTTACTGCTCAAAAATTCAATGGAGATTCTGCGGCGACTCACAGAATGTTTCAAGACCGGATGTACCGAGTGTAATTGCGAAGTAGATGGAACCGACGGCATACCGGATTGGCGAGGAGGGACTGACAAACTTCTTTGTTGAATATGCTCGAACGAAATGAAGCGAGGCGATTGGAACCTAAGTCTGCTCTTATTAATCTTAATAAAAACAACGGTCTGTGTGCGGGACTAAAGCCCACCGCCAACAAACTTGTTGGACGTTATCAGTGTGGCAGCGATACATATCACCTTTTCATCAAAACCCCTGCGGGTTAGGGGCTCAAGAATTTACCCGCGGTAAGACATGCCTGTCGTAAGAGGCGACTAAAATCCAATAGTTCCCGCGACAGTCGGGTCTTTATACCCGAGCGACCCGGATTTTCATCCGGCCAAGGACTGTCACTCCCGCAATATTCCCCAAAAAGTACTTTAGGGAAAAATTTTGCGGTTACAACAACAACAACAACCTCTTCATCAATTTTGAAGCAGCCCTCAATGGCACAATGTGGACCTGTCTCCATGTCGCTATGCCAGAATTCGGTATCACTGCAAATCTTATACGGATCTACAGATTGACACTAGGCAACTCCACAAGCATACTTAGAAATAGGAAGGACCTCTTCGAGTCGTTTAATACAGGACAGGGCTTGAGACAGAGAGACTCTTTATCGCGTGACGTCTTCAACTGACTGCCGATGACATTGATATCATTTGACTTAGCAGCCGCGTCGTGAGTTATGCTTTCTCCAGGCTTAATAAAGAAGCAAGGCGAATGTCATCAAGCATGCATTTAGCGCGTCTACGTCTTGACTCGCTCGGTATTGTTGGCATCTATCTTGGAACCTACTCCTATTCCCTCAATAACGCATCATGCGAATGAAAACCCGTCCAGTTAGAGCAGGTAAAACCTACTGATGGAGCAGATGATTTCTTTACGATTGCGGGGATTGTATTAATTGAAAGGTTTGGTTCGACTCTCCTTTGACTTTCCTCAGCGAATGTGAATGAACCCTCAGCTGCTGTCCACAAAGTGTGTAACTTGACGCGCTCGCATTTAATTGAATATTAGCGGCAGCAACTATTAGCAGTGATTTCCCAGGTTCGCTTCATGCCATTAAGCACCACGTGCCCTTCATGATAACGCTTACAAACATAGATAGGCATAGATAATAGCGATAGAGATAGTGTGTTTAAAAACTAATACAATGCCTTGACAGTGACATATGTATGTATGTAAATGTGTGTGTGTGTGTGTGTATGTAACAAATTGGCTTTTAATTAATTGGATTCTTATCATGTTGATCATACACACAACACATATATATATATATATATATATATATATATATATATATATATATGTATATATCCGTTCGCTGAAATATATAAAAGAATACAACGAGAGCGTGAGCGAATGGAGAGGCGAAAAGAAAGCATGAATAATTCAAAATGCATAAACTCTGAGTAACAACTAGACGATAAATTTGTAATAAAAAAGCAGGAGAGCGGTTTTATTGCAAGAGCTTAGAAGATTAAAATGCACTTTGCCAAATGTTGCAATTTTTCGTATCATTTTTTATAGTAGTAAAATTAGTTAAGTAGCGTCGCGTCTAAATTAATGCACAAGCGCTTAGTTAATTACATTTATTTGCATGTATTGAAGCCAAGTTCGGTCGGCTGCAACGCCTGCGATTATGTGAATTTTAGTTGAATAAGCAAAAGGCGTCTAAAACTTAAACTAACTAAGAGGAAGTAGAAAACAACTTAAAGCAAAAACTCAATAAAAAACTTTTTTTTTGATTTTGCAACAGTGTTCATTTCTTTGAGAGATTTGAAGAATTTTACGAAATCAGAGGATAAAAAAATAATTTTCCACGAAAAAATTTATTTGGTCCATTTTTGCATTAAATTGCAGAATTCATTCACTTATTCATTTACAAAATACACGTTTTTCTTGGACGCTTTTTGCTTCTTGCTCTACGTCATTGAAAACTTTGTCCCTATTGGCAAACAGTTGGGACAAGCGATTTTCACAGGCTTGTCTTGGGGACAACTCCTTACCAACCGAATCATTCGCTATAGAAAGAAAGTCACTTGGTGCGAGGTCCTCCTAACAAAAATCTTCGAGCTCCTTGCGAGTCACTATCATTGTATGGGTCCCCTCTTTGCTGCTCAAAGCCTTTCATGAAAATATCAATATGAATATGAATGTCTCGAATGGATGATCTATGCTTACATAAATCCAAATCATTCTAGTTTTTGTCACTCTCCGATGGCACATTTCGAGCAAATCGAACATCGAACTCCACTTCCCGCAAAGTGAGAGAAAACCTACATTAACATTACAAAAAAAAAAAATCACCTGAAAAATGCTTCAAAAATGTTCGACAGGGAGCTTTTCGTGTTAATGAAATATTGATAAAACTGTTTTTTGAAGAACTAAGATTTTTTAGGTAAAATACTGAATGCTTTCAAAAAGAATTAATAAGTTTTCGTAATAACAATTTAGACTTTAAACTGAACATGGAACCAAACATATAAATGTAAAAGGGAAAAATTTCACATAATAAAAAATAAAAGTTTCATCCACAAGAAGTGCGCGCGTAAATAAAAATAATAGAGTGATGAAACGAGCAGGACGCCTGTGGAAATATTCGCAAAACACATGTGGTGAAAGTGAAATGTGTAGCTGGCGAGTGAGCCTCGAGTAGGCCACTCAGCAAAGCCACGCATTTCCGGCGTGCTCATCGGCGCATAACGGTAAATGTTAGCGCAACAAGACATAAATTCACAAAATTGTTAATAACAACTAAAAGCAACAACACTAATTAAATAAAATTAAACCTGCATAAACAAGAGAGCAGAGAAGAAGACGAGGAAGAAGGTGAAGCAGTGTAACGTGTTGCAAGGGCACAGCAGACAACAAACACAACAACAATCAACAAAATAAACAGCAATAAAAGCAGAAGACGCGAGCTTGAAGCATTAAAATTATCGCAAAATTAAAAGCAAACAAATTAATTAAATACCGACAGTGAGGGCAGCAGTTGATGGTGTGAAAGTAAAAGGCCTCGGAAATCCATTTCGCTTTTCTACGCACGAACCCGTACGAAAGTACGAAAAATAACCAACCAAAGACAAAAAAAAAAAAAAAACGAAAAGAAGAATAAATAGTAAGATCTCACGACCGTGTACATGCACTTCAAAGAAAGTTCTGCATTAAATATCTTGACACGTACAGCGACACGCGTATCCACAGTTGTCGCGAAACGAGACCTGCAAGTCGAGTTGACTTAAGTTGAGTTGAGTTTAGTTGGGCTGTGAGCAGCATAAGTTCGAAGCGCCGTGCAACGGACAGTGCTTGTGACCCTTTTCATATTGTTGTGAGTTGTACGTGCGTGCTCCTCTTTGTTTTTGCCTTGCGTTGATTGCGGCGTGGGCGTTTCGTCACACGTGCACCTGCCACTGCGAACATATTCCGGCCACATCGTCGCTGTGTGTACATCGCGCATTCCAGCTGAGTCGGAGTGCATTAAACATTCAGCAGCCGCTCTGATCGCCACACCACCATTCAACAACAACAGCAACAAAACCATTTCTTGCTTTTACCCACCAACCTACAACTGCAGGACCACGCAGAACCAGGAACTTACCAACAATAACTGACAACATCAACTCACCAGTGGGACAGTAGCGCTCCATTGGCGTGTCGGCTAACGGCGACTGCTGCATTTTCTGGTAGTCAGCGCTAGCACGTTTGCTCATTTGTTTGTCGCGTGCCTCGAGTCTCGGGTAAGTGCTCATTTAATTGCAATTTGTTGTTGGTGTTTTTGCTTACGTTCTGGTTTTCTGTTTGGCTTTTTGTGAAACTTTCACCAACTGCATTCTTTATATGTAATTTTAAGTACCGTTATGCAGATGGAGGGTCTGTTGCCCATTGTATGTGTGAATGTGTGGGTGTGTGTGTATGTGTGTGTGTAAATGGTTAAAATGTTTCTCAACAGGGCAATACTTTAATTCAAACGAATGGCTTTCCAAATTGGAAGATTTATGAGATCTTTCCTACTTTAATGGCGAAACTTTGTTCCTTTTTATTATTACTTTGACAAATCTATATACTTTCATAGTTGGGAATTCATCCCCTTACCCTACATTCTTATGTTTTTTCCTTCGAAATATGTAAAATAGTTGCCCGATGATCCTTTGTAGTACCAGATAGAGATCCGTTTTATTGCAACCTAAAATATTCGTTCAAGAAGGCTTAAAAAAAAATTTTGAAGACCCCTATAGTCCTTGTACCGCGAAGCTCCGAGATGTCTCGAAAGAATTCATGCTTAAGGCCGGACAGAAACAGAGGAGGTGCTCTCTTCCATGCGTTCTTCATGAACCTCTTACGTGTGCCACTGCTATTGATGTCTTTTCTGCGTCCATGGGAAGCCAATATGTTGTGTCCCGTACCCTTAATTCGCTGGTGGCCTGATACCTCGTATATAGCCGTCGTTTACCCTCAGCCGCTCTGTCTACTGTTTCCATGCTTCTTTTCTGACGCAATGCGATGTGAGATTATTGCCTGATTCCCGCATGGTTACCGCCGACAAGTAAAAGGTTTGGTGAAAAAAAACCCAATATTTTTCCAATAGATGACGTTATTTATCTGTATTTCGTCTTCTATAAGTCCGATCGAGGTCATTGGATGGCCTTAGAAAGATGACATTAGTACAAACAGTTCTGGCAGTTTGAGCGGGCGAAAAATATGGACACTAGTAAAGAGAAAAAACGTTATATTTTACAGTTTTTCTGTCGATGAAAAGTGGATCACTACAACTTCAAACGGTCGTGGTCGAAATGCGGTGAACCGGCGAAAACGGGGAAAAGCCATGATTGATGTCCAGGAAGATTATGCTGTGTGTTTGGTGGTATTGGCAGGGAATTATCTACTCTGAGTTGCTCCCATACGGCAAGGTTCTTAACTCGAAACTGTACTGTGAACAATTGAAATCGCCGAGAAGCGGCCAGCTTTCAGTACAATATTTGGCCACCCACATCTATTGTGACTCGCCAGAAGCTCCGGGGACTTGGTTGGGTTTATGCACTCACCTTATAGTCCGGACCTGGCACCAAGTGATTACCATCTGTTCTTATCCAAAGCGAACAACTTTGCTGGTGAAAAGTTCCCTTCAAGAAAGGCTTGTGAAAATCGACTAACTCAATTTTTTGCCAATTGGAACAAGGGTCTCTATGAGAGAAGCATAACGAAATTACCTTAAAAATGGCAACAGGTTATCGAATGAAACGGTGCATGTTTGACCTAAATTAGATCATTCCAGCTATACAATAAATTGATGTTTTGTATATGGGTCTATGCCTTGCTTTGTGATAATAAACACTTCCGTTTGGATAATACTGCAGTACTTGAAGCTTGAAGGGTTGTCTGAGATTGAGATCATTGCAAAAGACGACGGCGCCCAGGGTATAAGCTTGCCTTTAACTTCCAAATATTTGTTTCCGTAAGGTAGAAACGAAGTAAGTAGATTTCATATTTCTGTACGAACTCTTTCGATCATTTTGCAATTGCTTTATTCGTTCTTGTTCTGACTTGAGCAATTCGTGTATATTTGACCAAGCAGATCACAGAAGAGAGCGCTTTGAATTTACTAAATTACCTCAACAAGACGGCTCCGTTACAGTTTTTGCTAGATTTACCCAGTTAAAAAAGTAAATAACTTCGAAAAATTTAAAAAACTCAGGTATAAGACCAAAACCAAATGAATTTGCAAGAGACCCCGTGGAGTTATGTGATCGTTTTTGTCCACCCTCCACTTGTACATCGAAAGTTCTAGGAGAGAATGCATCTAAAGCTATCAGACTCATGGCATATTGCTCTGGTTCGTCTTTGAAGTGGATTTTGTTGGCAGCGTAGCCCATTAATATACGATCCCTAGAGCGTTTTCTATTACGTTACTGATAGTGACTCGGAATTTCTACGTAAGCTATGTCGTCCGCATAGGCAATTAGTTTCATATTCAGAAGATTTTTTCGAAAAAACACTTGTTCAGCATTGCCAAGCTGACGTGAAGTGCTCGTTCATCTGTTCAGAAGAAGGCCACAGTTAGCAACGGGCATTTCTTCGCCTCCTGGGGTTGGTGTTATCGACACAAGAATGCCAAAGTTGGCACTGGACTGTCAAAATATAGGTCAGACTTACCTTAAGTAGACTTGACTACAACATATACACATTCAAATACAGGAGAGCCCACTGATTGTCGTCGCAAATGCCAAATAGGTTTCCGCTTCCAATTTTACTGTTCATAAAGTATGAGTGTCTTTACCGTTGATCTCGTTTATAGATGTAATTATCCTTAAACTCTCACTCGTTGCAATCATAAGATCGGGAGATATTAGAAAGAAAGAGAAAGCTTATAAGTTCAACGCTTCAAAGTGATTTATAATATGAGCCAATATTGAGCATAACAAAGGTGGCAACAAAATCTAAGTCCTAGTCCAGGCAAGTCCTGGTCTGGCCAACATTCAAAAATGAAAGAAAATTAGTTTAATAATTGCGATCCGAGGGGCGATCGGGAATGTCAAGCCTTTCGAGTGTAATTATGACACTGAAATTCTGACTCAGAACTCGTCCTAAGCGCTCATCGGCCGTTTAAAGGCGGCTTGGGATTTTGGGAAAGCACAGAGACTCTCAGGACAAACTGCAGGAGAAACGCTTTGCGAAATTTTAAATTAAACAGAATATTTTTTAATTCGCCCTTAAAGAGTCACTCAATTTTTGTAATAAAAATATTTTTTAAATTCTAGGATGTTTAGCCGCACACAAACAAATATGAATGCATTATAAAAATCAATGGCTTGTACGAGTACATACATATACTCATTTATATATATATATATATATATATATGTATACATAAATACTTACATACTACTGAATAGCATAATTTTTTTCACGTTATAAATCCTTCTGATTTGCGTCTTCCATTGAGAAGAAAATGAATTGCTTTGATTCCCGAGAAAATATCTTTCTTCACGTGGCCTTACTTCGATAATCAGCCATGGCCGTGTTCAAAATGGGAGAAAATGTGAAAATATGAAATGGGAAATGGAAAATGTGAAATGTGAATGCTGCTGCTGCCCACTCAAATGAATAATCGTCGCACAGGTTGACAAAGAATTTCCCGCTGCAATTATGCAAGACAATGCGAGTGTTTGAGTATATGTAAATGAAAGTATGTGGAAAGAATGTGAAATAACAAAATAACGGTACAGAAACGCATATGTAGCGGCAAAGTAAAGACAAAAGCAGAAGAAAAGAGAAAGGAAAAAAGATGAAAAGAAAATTTCAATCCCTTCGTACAACTCAATTGTTGCATATATAATGCGGGACTGTTATTGTTATTGTTATTATATGCTGATGGGATGTGATTGCTGGCTTCGCTCGTTCGTTACCAATGACAAATGCATTTACTGCGCAATTTTTTGTGCACACACAAAGATACACAACACAAATACCTTTAGCCGCTCGCTTGCTTCCAGGTATTCGCATTATTTCAGGCCATCGCATGCTCGCATACACAATGAGCCTTACTCACCTCCTGCCCTCACTCAGCCCTGACTCCTTCCTACGACCGTCCGTGCGTTGGTTCGGCCATTCCAACCAGACTGTTTGTCAGAGCTGGCCGATAAATCGGTCGTGCCAGTGGGCTGCCTGTTGCTCTTGTGTTGTTTTTGGTATTGACGTGCATGGCTGCTTGCATGGCTGCTTGCATGGCAAAGGACACTTGCACACCGCTGTGGCCCCACCTTTTTGATTGCGGTTACATATGCAACAGTTATTGTTTGTTGTTCTCTGTTCTTTATTCTCTGTTGTTGTTTAGCCATTCGAATTGTTGTTGCAACACTTATTGAATTACTCAAGCACTTTAGTGCACACACATACGTGAGTATATACTCGTATCTATGTACATATGTATGTATTGTAAATGAATCAAATGAACGAGCATGCAAGGATTTGATATCTATTATTAGCACAAAGGATATGAAAATCAATTTGATGCAACAAAAGTCATGTACAGTACAGACACACTGGCACACAGACACACAGGCACACAAACACAGAGCGAAACATACTTACAGAAGTGCAGTAATGAATGTGCATTTGTGCTAGATATGCGCAGATTTGGTCAATTTGGACAGATGACAAGTCAACTATATGTATAATATATATATATATATACATATATATAATATATATATGTAAGTAATTGTTACTTTATAATTACTAAAGGGAATTTCGGCTCAGCTGTTTTCCAACAAATCAAGGGACCTACAATTCACTCTAAGGCGCTTCCGAACGACCGTTGAATTTCTATAAGGAGCCTTCATTTCACGTCGGAAATGCATTCGGAGGGGTTGACATTCCATACCTAGGGGTGAGCGTAACAGTAATATGAGATTGTATAAAGAAAACGATGCATTCGACGGAAAATGGCTGCCCCGAAGTCGGTCGGAGCTATGTTAGATGGTGTTTGATGAATTTTTGGTTAGTAATTTGTTCGCAATAATAGAACATAACGCATGTCTTTTTGGACGAGTTTCTTAACGAATATATCAAATAACGCTCCGGACATCGCTTTTATTACAACCTGCCTTTTGACTAACTTGCATATCATCACCAGTTCCAAAGTGTTTGTGTAAGCGAGATCGAAATTGATCTTTTCTCCAGCTTTCCATGCTTAACGTGATACAAAGCGATCGCAGCTCTTCTTTTTCTGCCATCCATA